TGTTTTCCTTCAGAAAGAAGACAATTCCAAAGAAGCTGGATTTGTTTGAGTTTACCCCATCCTACTTCCCAGGGACAATTTTATTTTAAAATAAGATTAATCTGTGTCATTAGATCAACAGATAACTTGCTAATGCTTATACCAACATCCAAATTTCAAATTGCTTTTCATTTTGTAAACTCTTGTTGGAAATAAAATCAAAGAAAAAAACCATGAGATTTTCATTTAAATCCTAGAGAGACCCACAGTGTACTCATTTTAGACCTAGTTTTTAAGATCAGATCCAGAGAAAATCTGCCATTTAGATACCTGGACACCTGCAGAGAAATAAAGCAAATGTATTGATTCTTTCTTTGAATTTAACAAGCAAATGCAGACTATTTTCAGCCTTGAAAGGAGGACAGCTCATGAAGTTAATGAACTCAATTGCTCTTAGTCACAGGTGTAATGTTTTCATTAAACCTGGGGACAGCCTTAAAAGTACCTCTACTAATGTTCTCAGAAATGTAAAAAGCAGACTATCCCTAACTGGCAGGCATACTTCATTTCCAGTGCTCCCAGTAACTGATTTCCTCATGTTTCAGAACTGAATTACACATGGTTCCCCAATGTCCATGTGAACACAAAACACACAAACACACTTCTTAAGAGATCACACTAGAGTATAATTCTTTTAATGTAGAAGAAGTAAGAGCCATAAAAAGTGGTTACTTTCCTTTTTCTGTCACTCATTCAGAAACTGTGGGACTAACTGTATATCCATTTTGTGGCCTCACAAGCAAAATTTTTCTGAGTTGGAGGAAAGAGTCTAAGACCTCAAGCAGTGTGTCTTGGATAGTTCTGTGTGATCCACCGAGTCATTCGATGCATTCTTGGTCATCCATACTATGAGCGTGGGAAATTTTGGAATGAAGAATGTAGGTCTTCCTTCTCCCTGAATTCTCATGCATCTCTATGGACCTGAGAAACAGTTGGAGAAGGCTACAAATTACCATAATTGTGTGGTGATTGAGTTTGCAACTAGTTTAACTTTTCTGGGTCAAACCCAGCCACGTGGATGCATCGATCAGGCAACTTTTGGAAGCCAAGCTTATAAGACCTCTGGAAATGGAAAAGGGCATTATTTAAGGTCAGTTCCTCTGCCCCTGCCAGTAGGGCCACCCTGGAACACTCATGGTTTATGTTGTTACTCAGAGAAACAAATGCTCATCAGCTCTCACTCTCCAGGAAGTTGCACCAGGATCATTTTCTCCATTTCTACCCAGGGAAGCCAGGTCCTGTATAGTACTGAACATGTTATCTGGGGATGATTTGTAAACTTAAATGTATTCTCTCATCATATTTTGAAGGAACACTAATTTTAGTATCATAAATATCTTTTATGATCTTGTGGCAATGTAAGTACCTTACTTGCCTTTTGATTACTCAGATACTTGCTGATATCCACTGACAATTTCACGATGTATATTGTTGTTTTTTCTATTTCTTTGATGCTTGGGAAACAATTTATCAGGAGAGACAATTGCTGTACTGCTAGGAAAATGGAGAAGGAACATGGAGCGGTAGTAGGTGCTCATCATTAAACCTTCAAGGGTTTCAGTTTTAAAACCTGTAAAATAAGTGGACGAAATCATAGCCCTGACATTCCAAGACATCACCTGTCTTCAGTGACCTGAACATTTAATTGAGCAGAAGTTCCCATTACCCAAATCTGCCAGATAGATGAGCAAACTTACTGTATGAATTGTGCTTGTGATTTGACAAGAATTATTATAGTGAAGCAGAACAGTGCCTACCTGGGAGATTTTGTATATCAGTGTGTTACAATTTGCCTAAGTGTTCTTGAATGTTAAATTTTCCATTACATAATTCTTAGCACTTTCTTAAAAATGTTCTAGTTGAATTGGCATATTTTATGATTTTTCTTGCTTCAAAGATAAGCACATGATTAAAAGTTAGATTAAAATTACCAGGTATTTTTGAATTTAAAAGGTTGTAGTTAAAAAAGTGATTCCAGTGGAAAAGTTGGAGATAAAAAGCACAGTTATTTAAAATATTTAGGAAGTAAGGTTGTAAGTACCTCAGATAATGAGATGGTAATTAATTTCCAAAACCTTTATGGCATTGTTTTTCTTACATGAGAAACTCCAAATACAAATAAAAAGTAAAATAAATGATAGATAGTAAGAAATAAGGTGATGGATTGTTTGTAAAAAGGAAAAGGACCAAGAGATGGAGAGAGGGGAGAAGAGTGGGGATGAAGAAAAAATTCGGATGTGTTAGGCACTTGTACCAACTTGCCATGAGGAACAGAATCGTTATGTACTCCAAACATATACTAATAAAAAACTAAACAAAAAGCTTCTAGTCCTAAAACAGGTAGCTTACCATGAATATAAACATCTGCCAGGGTGTAGAGAATCAAGAAATAGACTGGCATCAAAACAGGAGCTAGAAAGTTGGATATTTTTCTATACAGATGTGATCTTCTGTGAGTTTTTTTCTGTTCAGTGGCACCATGTACTCTTAGTTTAGTGGGGTATAACATCCCTACTAGGTGATGGGAAGATCATTTTCTTTTATTTTTGGTAACAAATAGGTCTGATATTTGATCTTTTGTTTATTTTTAATTGATTTTATTCTCTTATGTCTGATGCTCAATTTATGGCAACCTGACTTAAAGTTTATTTTTTTAAAGCACTAATGGCACTGTTAACTGCTGATCTATGTATAAAATTCAGGAAAGACAATTATTATTAACCTGCTTGTTGCATGTGAAGAATTATAAACTAAATATGTAGATGTTTGAGTTCTTGCATCTGAACAAAGATACGACTATACTTATAACACTCCTCAGAGATTTTTTTTCTTTACAAGAACCTTCACTTGACTAAAGCAATTAGGAAAATAAGCTCTTAGTAGTAAGGTTATAAAGATTATTTTGGATGAAGCAACCTAGAATGGATTACATAATTTATAAAAGCTTTTCTAAGATAAATGCAACTTATACTTTCAAATGTCACAGTTTATTTATTCAATTTTTTAAATAATGGTCTTATTTCATGTTCTTTTCGGGGAAAGCTGCAATCAGGCATCTTTCTATGCAGTACTTACAAAGATATATTATAATATTGTCCTCCAGGGGGCGTTAAATCGTCAGCAAAGCTCCATCTTCCCTGGAAGGTGCTGGAATCCCAAAAGCAAAAGCAGACGGGGTCTGTCTTTCTTTTCCCTGGGATACAGGAGTTCTAAGACCGTTGTACTGAATTCACATATGGAAGTCATCTCAGGCTCTTAGACAGGATTTGACACTTTTTAGGTGAGTTAAAGTGAGCTAAAGTTTTTACGTGTGAAAAACTAATGGCCCTGGAGTGTGTGTCATGGGCCTAGCATAGCCACCTTGCTCTGAGTGTCTTGCTACAGCTCCTGGATTGATGTGCCCCTCCAATAAATCCTTAAATAGATTATTGTCACAGATAGGAACTCTGGACAGAAACTCAAGGACAAAAGTGTGATTTTTTTGGAGGCCCAAAGATAAATGCAAGTTGGTTGGAGATTATATGCCTCCAAAGAGGAGAGGATCTTTCCTATGCAGCTATTTTTTTTCCTATAGCAGCTATTTTTTGCTGCTATTTTTTAATGGAACCATTACATAGGAGTCTGCCAATCCATAGGGCTGAGGAACCAGCAACTTCCTGTGTAAAGGATATGACGATAAGGCAGTACAGTATAGTGGCTGAGAGGTACATAGATTCTAGAGTTGACTGACCAAGGTTTAATATCTGCTGTACCTCTTATAAATACTTAGATATTGAACCAGCTACTTAACTCCTGTGTCACTGCTTCCTCATCCCCAAAAGATTATCTCATAAGGTAGTTAGAAACATTAAGGTAATCCAAAGAGTACTTGGTCTCTAATAAATGTTTCATAAATGATATTTGATAATAAATTACTATTATTCTTTAACCTGAAATCTACATCCTATTTGATTCCAGATGTATCTCTCATGTCCTCTCTACACAAACTCCTTTATCCCAGTTATCATTCTGTATGTTTATCCTTTGCTCCTTCAGCTTCTAAACTTGGGCTATATCTTCACCTCATGAGATCTCACCCAAGTGGCAAGGATCACCTGTCATAGCATCTTAAAGCTGAAGGAAAAAAAACCCAAAATATAATTCTCTACTCCAAGATAAAAATTGGCTTTCCCCTACTTCTGACCTATGACAGGGACACAATATCTTGATTGTGTGACAGATGTACAGGTATACAGATTTTTCAAAACTCACAGAACTGTACATTTAATGTGGGTACATTTTGTAACATGTAAAACCAACTCAATAGGACTATAATGAGAAAACCTCAATCTTTGGAGACAGATCTGGTTCAAATTGAAGTTGCAATACTTTCTACCTGGCAAGACATTGAATCACTTTCATGTGTAGCTTCTCTTATGTAAATAAGGTGATGGACACTGCCTCCTCTTGTACTTAAGGTTTAGAGACAGTAATAGTTTCAAAAGGCCTCAAAGTGTTTTCACACAGTTGATGCTACATGATTATGAAGACTTTCCCTTCTAATAAAGCTAATTATGTATTTGTTACATACTCCTCTCCACCAGAAAATAACCTTGAGGACTGAATATGTGCCACCATTTTCTTTCCCACTGTGTCTAGCACAGAGTAAAAATCTCAATAAATCATGTGACCTTTATGGCTAAAAATACCGGCTTTTAAAAAGCAAATGCCAAAATGCATTCCAACTTCAACACCAGCAGGATGCAACACTTGTGTATAATCACCTGGGTTTGCTTAGGTTCAGTATTGTAAAATCTGAAAGATACTTAATATGGTCAATAATTCATTGATGGCTCCCCAGTGTGCAGTAAGGCTTAATCTTTCATTATGATGACTCCTTCGGTTCACAGGGCTGTCTGTTTTTCTTTAAAGCAAATGGAATGACTGTGCTGTTTTCTTGACCAATAAGTCACTCTGTTTTCCATGGTTCAAAGTTAAGCTTTTATTTGGTTTTAAATTAAAAAAATAAATTTCATTATTAAATAGTGAGATGGTTCTAACTAATGTTTTGATAGTAGCTTACTCAGAAATATACCACCAGGGGCACAGTTAAGGGGGTAGGTCACCTAAGCTAAAGTTATGTTATGTTAAAAGTTCAACAGTGGCATAATTCAAAAGAAAGTGAAATACAAAGTTTTTAAATGTTTACAATGGGTGGGAGAAGTAAACCACTTATTCTACTGTAATTGCAAACTACTTTCTTTCAAAGCCAGTCAGTTTTAACATTATACCACAGTGCTAATGTCATCTGGTTCATCTGCTTTCTTTTGCCTACTTGGCAAGGATTTCAAGTACTCAAGGTGTCTCCGGGCATCCTCCTGATTTTGCCTCACATAATACACCACATATGAGATCACCATGGTGAACCAGCCAAACATGGTGACGAGCATGGCATAATCAGTAGTTTTTTTAGGAAGGTTACAAAGGTCAGCATCATTGGCAGCATTGAGGAATGGTCTCCCTGCATGTTCATCCAATACAGAAGTCTTACAGATCACATTGTGGGCTGTCTCGTGATTGGATGCCATGCTCCTCAGAACTTGCTGTAGAGTACAGTCACAGTGCCAGGGGTTGTTGGCAATTCGGGCCCGAGCCTTCAGGTTATTGAAGGCATTTTTGTGCACACTTTGAATCCGATTGTCGGACAAGTCTAGAGTCTGCAAAGTCTCAGCTACTCCCTTGAAGGCATGCTCATCAATAAACTCAATACCGTTTTTGGACAGGTTGAGAACTCTCAGCTGATGGAGGTCCTTAAAAATCTCATTGGGGATAGATGTGATCTGATTGGAGTCCAGATACAATAAGACTGTTTCAGGAGGAAGATCTCTAGGTATTTCCTTGAGATTTGCATTGCTACAGGTGACGTTTAAACCCCCAGAGGAAGAACAAAGACAGCCCTTGGGACACATACTGGCTGAATGAAAGCACAGTATCATAAGAACAAAACTTTGTAGGAGGAGACACATGGAGAGGGAACGGGTTAACCACAGGTCTACCAGATTCATGCTGAAATGTCAGCATAATCACAAGTCCATTCCTCATTTATTCCAACGAGTGTGGCAATGGTTCCAGCTCTGTCCACACCTTGATTTCCTTTGTGTGTGTGACTCAAAAGGCTGAAGCTAACACACACATCTCTTCTTTATTCCTGTCCTTGCTTGGGAACCTACAGGAAAAGGAAACAGATACAGTTAGTTCTTCTGCAATGGGAAGTTCATTGCAATTAAAAGAGCTCTCACACATCTGGCATTCTACGCATGCAGATAGGTTAGTTATGAAGGTAATTTCCATTAATGCCACTGAGAATTATCTGTGTAATGGGAATCTCCTGTTCAAATCCCAGGTGATAGGGGAAAGAGGACTGTCAATAAACGACAACACTTCCAAATTCTGTCATTTTGTTTACAGCTGTGCAGAATTAGAGCAAATAGCCTCAAGTTCTGTCGTCTCTACAACTCCTCTTTTGGAACCTTTCTAAATTTTACAGAAATAAAGTTTAATTATGTCTTTCACCCTCTCTACAGTAACTGATACATTACTGCAATTTAGCACTGAACTTGGGAAGCAATGAGAAATAATAGCGATATTTCATGGTTAATGACCATAGACAGGAATATCTGTCGTGGCTTTTGCATAAATGCCTGATTTGGAATATTGTCTCTAAAGAAACATCTTACTTGGTTTAAGAAATGAGTGAATGCGTTCTAACCATCACAACAAAATGTTGCTAGGGGAAGACAAACAATGAAGTCCAGAAGAGCTGCTTCCCTTATCACCTCCTGAGATTACATTATACCTCCTGAGATGCTTATAACTGGATTTCCAAAGGATTCTCTATGTTCTCTAAACAATATATTCCCTCCCCAGAAGATCTTCAAATATGACACTTACTTAAGAGACTTTTCTATATCAGAAGAGAATGAAGAAATACAGCCTCTGAGACTTTCCCAATAGGTAGACAGATGAAAAAGCCACAGAGGGCTGGGGATTTAGCTCAGTGGTTCCGACGCCTGCCTTGCAAGTAGAAGGACCGGAGTTCAATCCCTGGTACTGAAAAAAAAAAAAAAAAAAGCGCCACAGAAATTATAAAATTAGATGATAAAAGAATGATTATAAAACTCATTAAACAACAGAGAGCAGAGATGATAATATAATTAACCCTTCAAACTACCCTGTCATATAGAGAAGACAGGCACATCTTTGGCACCATTTCTCAGAGGAGATGAGTGGATAGAGTTTGTATGATTTGTCCAAGGTCAAACAGCTTGTAGATATAGAGACAGGACTCCAGCCAAAGTGTTCTGACTCATTAATCTCACAACTCTTCCCACTACCCCCACAGCTCTCTTCCAATCCCATCTGCTCTATGAGTATAGTTAGGATCCAGCAAGCATGGCTTTCAGTGATTTCTGATGCTGTTTTGTTTAAGCCTAATATCTGTGCTGTGGCTTTTGCTCCAAAGTGAGAACCTCACAGAGCTCAGGTATAGGGACCCTCTGTTTGGCGAAGGGAATCCATACAGGATTTCAGAAGTTTTCCTCTCCGATCTAAGAACACTCATTTCTCTTTCAGCAATGAGCAACAAAAGACTTTCTGCATAAGCATCAAATGACTTTCTGCAAACTTATCTTTTATAAAGATCCCAGATGGATAAATACAGAGGGAAATGACTCCAAATGTTACCAAACTTGCAAAAGAGATGATTAATGTGAGCTGAAAACATAATGAACTGGGTTGTTAATCATGGAAAAAAAATGAGATTAGCAACAGCAGAATGGAGTGGATGTGCTTTTGGGATCCTGTGTCCCTTAAATGCCAGAGAATCCTAAAGAAGAACCCCTAGGCTTACTAAGCCAACCATCAAACACTCATTTCATTGGCAGTAAAGTGTCCCCCTCTTCCACATTTTCCTCCCAAACTCCATGGCAAGGCATTTAGGGACTCTACTAATTATCCAGAAGGGAGAGAGGTAAAAGAAACAGATGTGGAAAGGAGGACTGTCAGAGAAGAGAGACCAGATGGTCAAGGCAACAAATGCTAGGACAAAGATAGGAAAAGAACACAGGGGTAGGGTGAATTCGATTAAAGATGATAAGGAGAGCCTGTGTCAACCCACCAACTTCCTTAAACTGAATATGTGTAATCCCACTAAAATCTGCTAAGAGGTAGACACTTCACTTTTCTTCTGAGATTACTTAGAAGTTTTTCTGTAAAGTATTTTCCAATTAAGACTACGTGCTCCATGAGGGCATGGGCTTATTTCTGCCTCATGTAGAAAAAACAGGAAACAATTAGAAGCAGAACGTATACGAGGTTGGAGTACCAGCTTTAATCCTTTTAGCAATATGCTCTTAGGGAAGTTATCCAACCTCTGTAAGCTTCATTTTCCTTATCTTTACATAGAGATTATAAAAGCACCGAATTACAAAGTTCATTTCAGAATTTTATGAAATAATTCACAGGAAGCACTTAGCACAGTGCCTAGTAGGTAGTAAGAGCTCAGTACCTCTCAGCTACAGTCACTAATATTACTCTGATACATCCCCACCCACCACCTGCCACAGTGCTGCACATATTGGAGGAGTTAAATGAACATCTGTTGTATGAATGAAGCAGTGAAATATTGAAAAGTCAAGTTGTGCTTTTTCTTCATTATGGTGACTATTTTAATTAATATTTTTAAGATCAATTTTGGCTCATCAAATATCGATTAGTTTTACATGTCAACATGATGGATTTTGGAAACACCATAAGGACAAGTTCTGGAGATTGAAGGAAGAATAGAACTTTATCGAAGTAGACTTCTCTACTCCATCATGGTTTCTCCAGAATACTCCTTCTAATGATCATTGTCACAGACAAGAAATAGTTAGGACAGATCTTAAATTCCTAATATCAGATTACAATCCATCTTGAGACGGAATCCCTTATGTCCCAGATAGGTCACATCATCTGGGAAATCTTCTTAGGAGTACAAAGAATTTCTTGCATTCAAAGATTTTGGATCACATTCTAGTATTTTATTCTCTCCCTGTGTTGTTTAATAAAAGGAGAATAAAGGATTCTATGATTGTCTAAACTGCTGGGCTGCTGTGAATTGTCCTTCACCCTCAGCCAAGATAAAGTGAAAAGAGATGCAGGACATGGAGATCTTGGGGCTTGGATGTTGCTATGATATGAATATTTGAGTCCTCTATATAAGCATACATTGAAATCTGATCTCTAATAGGAGGGTGTTTAGAGGGGAAGTCTTGGGGAAACATTAGCCTTGGTAGCAGAACTCTGAGGAATGGGATTAATGACCTAATAAAGAGTTCCTAGAGAACTTCCTCGTCCCTTCTGATATGTGGGGACACAGAGAAAATATGGACATCTTTGAACCATGAAATTGGACCTCATTGGCTATCAGATGTTCTAGAATCTTGATCTTGGACTTCCCAAGTTCCAGAACTGTGAAAAATAAACTTCTGTTGCTTTAGCAGAACTAATGTACTAGGACACACGTCCAAGGAGAGAGATAGAAAAGTTGAAGGTGGAATCAAGGTTATATGCACAAAGGACAATAAAAGAGTGGCTTCTACACTACATGATATGAATAACTAATTTCTAAAGAGATTACCAGCTTGATGACCAGCAGCAGCTGTTGGAAAAGGACATGGAAACATGAACCTCAAAGGAAACAAAGGTGAATACTTTGGACTACTTATCATCTACAGAGAACATTAAATAGGAACTTGGAAACCAAAACCTCATTTCTACTCTGTTTTGAAGCAAGTTTGAACACAAACACAAAGCAGCAAACAAGCTTTGCTGCTGGGAAAAGAGTGCCTCCTTACTAACTTCAGAAAGCATTGGTAAATATAAAGAAAGGTCAAGATCACACTGTGAGGGCAAAATCAGCAATAGCCCTCACTATATGACCTTCTGAAAAGGAACCAGGCTCACTAAAAGGACAGACCAAGTTGAACAGCATCTTTCACATCTCCTAACTCCCTTTCTGTAATTATCGACCCACTCACTGGACTACCTTGTCCATATCCACTTATTCCCTTCAAGTGCATCAGCCAGGAAGCCATGGTATTTCTAAATGTAGTGCTTACATATAGTCTGTGCCTAAAAACAGGATCATTTTGTCCCCAGACTCACATTGTTCGCATTTTTCTTCCATACAGACTTCTGAGCTAAAACAATTAATGCTGAGATTGGGTGGCAACAGTCAAATATTGTTTCCAGAAAGAAGAAAGAAGTGAACATAGCATTGTTCATTCAGTAAGAAGACAGTTTACTCAGTGGCCAACAACTCTATGTGGTTTCCTATTTCTTTCTTCATATCATTAAAGAATACTCAGGGCCACTCAGGGGTTCCAACTCCCAAAGTGTTATTAGTCCTTTTGATATAGCTGAGTGCACCAATTCAAAAAGAAATACCTCCTATGCCAATATCTTCCAATTGTATTTTATGTAACTCTGCTACTAATCAGGAGGATTTGATTAAAAAGCAAAAAAAAAAAAAAATCTTAGCAAAACAAGAAAGACTTCAACCTCACAACACAGAAGGCAAACCAATAGAAAAATCCAAGCATTTAATAACCCAACTTCAAAACTTCTGTATGGTAAAACAAAGTTAGGCCATACATAAATGCAAAGGACAGATGGCAAGACAAAGCAGTGATATAAAAATATTTATATATATGAAAAGTACTTATGAAGAATAAAAACCTGATCCAGTAGAAAAATGAACAGAACATGAAGATATACAGATGACTATATAATGTATATGATTATACAAAACAAACCATACGAAAGTATTCTTTGGCATTAAAATCAGGAAAGCGAATCACTCTGGCAACACATATGAGCTAGTCCCCATTTTGGGTCTTACATACAGTGGGATACTAGATAGCGATGATGAAAGAATCATTCTCAAAATTGACATCATTATATTCGTCCTGTCTCTGATCTTCATAGAGGGCAACCGTATCAGTGAGGAGGACCTAACTGAAAAAGTGAAAAGATGGGCCATATTAGCTCACTCTGTGCATATTCATTTTGAGGAAGCCTGGAAATTCATCACTGAGGATTTAGTACGGGAAGAGTACTTGATGTACCGGAAGATTCCTAACAGTGATCCTGCTCTCTATGATTTCCTGTGGGGTCCAGGGCCCACGCTGAAACCAGCAAGATGAAACTCCTAGTTCATATGGCCCATCTTAATGGAACAGATCCCAAGTCTTACCCAGAACTATATGAAGAGGCTTTGGAAGCAGAACTAGGTATACAGCCAGGGTCCCTGAGAAACGGGATACTGCACAAGGGTGTCAGTGAATTTGTTCTCCCCCAAGAAGAAATGAGGCCCATTTTCAGTCTCTGGGGAGAGCAGGCAGTTTTCTAAGTAGTGAAGGGCCAGGGGAGGGGTAAAATAGCACACATAGCATCTTGCTGTCTCTTCTATTTGGGTTAATTGGAAATGGACAGGGGTTCTCTTCATGGTTTTTTGAAGTATTGGTCCTTTTGCGGGGAGACTGAAGTAGCTTGCATATTTATTGAATGGTATTGATCTTCTGTGTATTTTTCGTTTTGTGACGTTGATGTTTGTGTTTTCTGATGGGAATGTGATTTTGTGTGACACTGATCACAAATGGAGTGCCTTTTCCATTCAAATGTAACAGTCTTTCCTGTTTTATCATACAAAAAGAAAAACTATTCAATTTATTTATGATGAAATGGGAGTGGAATAGGAATTTCCTTGAAAATTATAAGTTTACATCAAGTTAGAAGGACCCTAGAAAAAGTGATAAGGATGAAAATCAAATATTGGCTGCTGGTTATTTCTTTTCCCTGTTGATCTATACTATTAAACTTATATTTATTGCATACCTGAAAAAAAAAGAAAGTATTCTTATCTCATGTCAGTAAAATATATTTAAGTTAAATTATCTATCGTCTTGTTTAAAATTAGGAAGAGTATTTAGTGTCAATAAAATAAGAAGAACAAAGCATTTTCAAATGTTTGTTCCCTCACAGTCTCATGTGTTCAGAGGTAGGGCTTT